ATTTTTTTTATAGTGCGGCATGTGCAAAGAATATGGTCACAGGTTTTTTTTTTATTGTTATTTTATCAAACTCTGGTTGATCTCTACTATCAGCACTGAATGTGATAAATTTTGTCTTATCAGTATTTAAGCTTAAAAGGCTACCATCTATGTAGTCAAAATATATATTTAACTCTTGTTCGGCTTGTTGGTATACTTTTTTCCAAGAATCTCCAAAAAACATTATCGCTGTGTCATCTGCATATGAGATTACTGAGCTTTTGGTGTTTCTCAGTACTCCAATATTGTTTATATAAATTAGGAAGAGTATGGGACCCATCACTGTTCCTTGCCTGTGGTGATAGGAAGGGGGTTACTAAAATTATTATTGATTTTTACTCTCTGAGTTCTATCCAAGAGATAATTTTCAAATAGCTTAAGAACAGTGCCTCTTATCCCCGATATTTCCAATCTATGCAATAATATTTTGTGATCCACGGTGTCAAACGCCTTGGCCAGGTCTAGAAATATTGTTAGGCACTTGTTATTATCATTAAGATTAGCCAAGACGTCTTTCACCAATCTGAATATAGCCTGTTCTGTGGAAAAGCCTTCTCGGAAACCGAATTGCGAGTTTGATAAGATGTTATTGGATTCTAGGAATTGCATAAGGCGGACTTTCAACACTTTCTCGAATATTTTTGCAAAATTATTTATAACTGTAATAGGCCGATAATTCGTAGCGAGTTTCCTATCGCCTGCTTTGAAAATTGGTGTAGTTATTGATTCTTTCCAAGCACCAGGTATAATGCTGGTTAGGAAGCATAGATTTATTATATGTGACAACGGATCCGATAGGTTTTTGTTGAATTTTTTTATCAAAAAGACCGAGATACGATCAGGACCTGCCGATGTGTTATTTTTTAGAGTAGAAATAGTGGAGATTATTTCATTACTTGTCACTGGATTGAGAAATAGCGATTCTCTTATATGAGGATTTACTTCCTGCGGAGACGTTTTGGTATCAATTTTTTGGGCCATGAGCGTTCCCACCTGAACAAAAAATTTATTGAGATACTCAGCTTTTTCTAGATCTGATGAGATTTCAATACCTTGGTCATCGGTTATATTTATACTATCTGCTTGAGAACTTTTCGATGAATTTGTTATGTCATTAATTTCAGTCCAGATTTTTTTATAGTTATTATTTGCCGCTATTATTCTATTTTTATAGTAATCGGTTTTTGTTTTACGTATTAGATTGTTTAGAAAGTTTCTGTAATGTGTATATTCTATATTCAATTCTAAAGAGAAGTTTTTTAAAAGTCTGGATTTCAATCGATCTCGATGTCTGATTGAAGTTATTAGTCCATCGGTTATCCAAGGCTTAAGTTTCTTATTTTCCAATTTCAGTTTTTTAGTTTCAGAACTTTTTTTTATGAATGATTGCAAGGTGTTAATAAAATGATTATACGCTGACAGTGGATCAGTTGAGTTTATTACATATTCCCATTTTTCGACATCTAGTAGACTACTAAGCTTTTTATAGTTTATATAGTTCTTTTCGATTGTTGTAACAGCATTATATTTTGTCACACCTCGATCAGTTAATTTCACAGATAGTGCTATAGCGTAGTGATCGGTTAAGCTAGTTTTGCATATAAATGAATTAATGTTTTTCTCATCGAATGCATCATTTTTATTTATTCTAGTGAATATATGATCAATTAAACTTGAGGTATGTTCAGTGACTCGCGTTGGTTTTGTGTTAATTTTAGGAAAGAACCCATGTGTGGCCATATTACAAACATAGTTATTGACACATGTGTCGTCTACATTTAGTGAATTTATATTAGTGTCACCTATGAATACTTCGAAATCTTTTTTATTTCTAGTTAAAAAAAGAGTATTTCTGATTGTCATTTAAATCAAAATATGAAGAAATTTCGCCTCCTCAGGAAGTACTCGCCCTATACTCTAGTGAATTTTCTGGACTGAATACTTACTGCAGATAACAGAGAACACAACAGACAACTGAAGAATCAGATAATAAGAGAAATTTCTTTGAATATTCTCATCTTGACTAGATGAAACAAGGATTTGAAAATGAAGGTGACGGTAGGAAGTTAGGTTGATAATGTAGGTCGCCTTCTTCTTGTTTTTATGGGAACTCTAGGTATTACGCTGTTGCCAGTGCCACAAAATGAATCTCGATCATTATTAGGAATACTAGGATATTTGTATAGGTACTGAAGCATCTTGAGAGTATATAAGTATTTAATAAGTGATTATTAGGGACAAGGTATAACTATTGTCGTCTGTGAATGTGAATACTGTTGTCATTGGTCATCTTGAATCTCATAAGGTTATTACTAGTTACAAATCTGGAGGCGTCTGAATATGTGATCTTAATTTTGATGCGACAGACATAATTCAGATAACGATGACTTTCGGTTTGGTTCATGACGTCATCGAAGCTGGCGTTTTTCGAAGATGCCGAATTTCATTATTGAAAAAATCATTTTTGCGATGATTTTAAATAACAAATGATTGCATCAAACGGAATGATCAATATGAAATAGGTTCGTGGCGTAAATTCGACTAGTGTATACAACCCCATTATGAAGTATGCTGAAAATGACGTAGGTTCGAATAGTAATCAGATAATCAATGAATTCAGAAGTCACTCGATGAGATCATAAAAATAACTAATGATAATCTAAAGAGGATTCCATACAGGGGAATGTTGAAACAGAGAACTCGTGGAAATGCTACTCGATTTAATTAAATAGAACTAGGCAATTGAATTTACTCTGCTGAACTCATATGATCAACAAAAGTTTCAAAGTTTTCCGTTGATGGTTGAATCTTCCGTAAACATCATTAGTGAAAAAAGCTTCGACATTGCACAGAAATGTATACTGCTTCGAGTGCTTCGAGGAATGGCAGAGGTTTGGTAAACTTTTGGATGACACCTCCTAATAAACGGGATTACTGCCTCAAGCACTTTGCTGTATAAACTTTTGGAAAATGAAATTCTGTCCAATGTGTCAGTCAATAGATGAACTGAATACATTGGATGTCAGGGAGAGGTATAATAGAAGTTTTCAAACAATTCAGTGAACAATCTGTAGGTACAATCAATATTTTCAGAAAAATGTTTCTTTATGTTATTTAGTAAACTGACTGCAGTTAGTTGATGTGAAGGGAATGATGGGACTCATCATTCAAGTATCCTAATCTTCGATATTGTCATTCTTATCGAGTTTCAGTATTTCATGAATATTTCTCTACGAGAAGCTACTGCACTTCGTTCTATAAAAATCCACTTTGAACTCGAGATTCTCATTAATTCTAAGCTTGTCGTCGCAGCATACAAAACTTGAACTGCATAAATATCAATTTCTGCTCCAAATATTACCGAATAAGAGTTACAGTTTTATGCGTTATACAGGGTGTATCTAAATAACACCGAAAAAATTCAACGTGTGATTCCTTCCTTCCTTTTCCATAAACATATTAGGTATTATTTGTTGCAGTTTTCCATTCAGGCATTCTTGAATTATGGATTAAGGCAGTTAGTACATAGAATTGGACCCCATCTAAAACCAGCAAGCTTTGTGGAGAGCATTTCGTGCCAACAGATTATCTATTCAGACATACCAGGTACTTCTAAGTTATTGAAACCAGATGCTGTACCCAGGAGATTTTCATTTTCTAAGCATTTGTTACCAAAAAATGCTGATCCTTCCAGGAAAACAAGAAAACTCATAGGTACCTAGTTGATCAATACCTAATGAAAACAAGAGTATGTTTGCACCTCTTTAAAATAAGCAACTTTGATTTGCCTTTGACTTCCAGCTCCCAAGTTTCGAAGTTCACCAATAAATTAATCCAAACTGTTCCAATGGAGAAGGATATTGTATTGAGAATTGTATTTTTTTAATTTTTAATAGGGATATGTTTGTAGGCAGTGACCTAATGGAAAAATAGGAACCTATGAAAATTATGCTCAAAATGGACCTTAGGTACTCAATACCATTCAAGAACCTCTTTTCAAATTTTTTCTATCGTTTTTCTTTTTCTTCTGATAGTGCTGAGATATTGTGCTTTGCTGACTCTGTACAATATATTGTGACATTTGGATGAAAATATATAATTTCGATTTTGTACTCATTTGACTTCCTAATCCTGTAAGAATGAAAATTGAATTTCATTTTTAAGTCAATAAAAAAATCAATAATAATTTTTTAATGATAATCGATTGCAACATTATCCTTTCTCCTTAATAAATATTTATATTTAGTCACGTTTACTCTTACGAGCGCTTCCCATTGGCCAACATATGATAGAAAGAGATAGGTATCCGTAAACCAAGGTTCAAACCGCGGCCAAAATTTTGTACACCGAACTCCAATTCCACAAGGAATTCCATAGAATTTCGAGGAATTTCGAGGAATTTCAAGGAATTTCAAGGAATTTCAAGGAATTTCAAGGAATTCCTAGGAATTTCAAGAAATTTAAATGATTTCCAGTTGTTTGTACACCAGAATTCCGCACTTCACACTAGGAATTCCGAGGAAATCCAAAGAATTCCAAGGAAATCCAAGGAATTCCAAGGAGTTCTAAGGAAAGTCAAGGATTTCCAAGGAATTCCAGTTGTTTTTAACCCAGGAATATACCGCATTTCACCCAAGGAATTTCAGAGAATTCCAAGGAAGTCCATGGAAATCCAAGGAAATCCAAGAAATTCCAAGGTAATCCAAGGAATTCCAAGAAAATCCAAGGAAATCCAAGGAAATCCAAGGAATTCCAAGGAAATCCAGGGAATCTCAAGGAAATCCAAGGAATCTCAAGGAAATCCAGGGAATCCCAAGTAATTCCAGTTGTGTGTACACCAGAATTCCACCGCGGTTTACCCCTCGCCGTAACCACTGCGGGTTGCCTGAACAATATTTCTGCCTCACTCGTCGTTCACAGAGGGTCCCTTCATGATATTTATATTGAGTTCATTGTTACAGGGTGGACATGTCGCAGGCGCACCGCAACGGCAGCTTCTACCAGTGCTGCTCCGGCTTCTGCATCGACCTGCTGCAGAAGTTCGGCGAGGAGTTGGGCTTCACGTGGGAGCTGGTGCGCGTTGAGGACGGCAAATGGGGTACCAGTGAGCGCGGCCGGTGGAACGGCCTCATCGCCGAGCTGGTCAACCGGAAGACCGACATGGTGCTCACGTCGCTCATGATCAACGCCGAGAGGGAGGCGGTGGTGAGTACAAGAGTAGATAGATACCGCGATTCGTTCATGAATCATTAGAAAGTACACGCTAGACTCTAGAGTGACTAGATTGAATATAGTGTCGACAATAATAGACCTCGAAATGGCTGCCGTTTTCAGAATGTCATTCGTGGTGGACACTGAATTCGCGGTCATTAAGGTCATTAGAGGTTCATTCGGGTTCGAACAATTATTCGGGTTTTTAGGAACTATTATAGGAATGGTCTTATTCCATTTAGATTTCGATTCTGTCTGTTGTAGGGTAACGTCATAATGATATATTTTCGTTTATTCTACTGTTTATTGCTCTTTTCAATATTTTCCCAATATCATGGAGTTAGTACATTCATTTGATAGTGGTATATAAACCTTCATCTTCAGAAAGCAGTAGTGAAGGAGTTACTTGCTGAAGTTGCCAAAAATATTTCACCTAGTCTGATAATTCTCGAAATTTTGTTAGATAAACCGAAAAATGGAGGATCATGTTGGGGAGACTCTGCCATAACCTATATTCAGATACACAATGCATTGAACATTTCATGTGGGTGTCGAAATTCATGTAGGTACAAGGGACAAATCATATTGAAAATCTAGCTACGAACGCTATGATGGAATATATTCACCATTCCTCCACAGAGGATTTCCAGAGATATCATGAATAGACTCAAAGGAGAGGCAGAATATTATTCGAATAAAGATACAGGTTCCAAACTATTGTTTTTTTCGCAAATTCTGAATAGAGGTTATGTTCTCAGAGGTTCTCTTCTGCCGCGTTCGGATTTTCATAATTTGTGAACTATTCTGAAACAGTTCTAGGATTCGCAACGACTGCGCACTAGTTCTACGCAGTTCGAGAACGATTCTTGAGCAGTTCTGAAATCGGAACCCGAATGAACCTTAGATGACGTTGCGAGAACATTTGAAACTACGGGGTAACATCCTAACTCCTGGTATAAATAGGTCGTGTGCACGATGACCGACCCTGGAGGTAAAATATTGAAACACAACCTCACTTTTCTCAAAAACATTGAAACAGAACCTCACTTTTTTCACTTGTTCACAGAGGATTCAAAGGATTGAAATAGTTTTTCACGATATATTGGCATACGAATCGTGTTTTTTGCGCTATTCGTTAATTCATGCATGACTTCTCATTGTGTTGTTGTACAATACACAAAAAATGCAGCGAGAGACGAAGGGATATGATTTTTCAGGTAAATAGTGATCTCAACACACTAAATGGACCACTCATAATTTGACTCTATTTCAAAGACCTGTATTTTTTGAAAAAATTGACCGATCTTCATGCGGTTTTCGATATCAGATGTGATATTTCATCGGCTTCGAAGAGAGCTGAAACACTCTGAAAAAGTCTGCAGAACAAAACTTGCACAGGGTGTGAAGTGGCACCATTACACTATAGTCTACATTTCCAATGCTGCCAGAACTCGAGAAATTTACACTGGGACCCCTCATCTCGGGACGTTTTCGTGATTTCTCCTTAATTGGCCATTGGAACAAAAATTAGATTTTTTTTTCGAATGTCTTACATTTCTTCTAGAACTTCACTTGAGCTAAATATTGGGAAGAACTGTTCTCATGTTTTGTGGAGGACGATGAAAGACAAAAAAAGCACCATTGTGAAATATACAGGGTGATGAGAAACTAAGACAAAATCTCATTTCGGTTTAAAAAAATAAAAAACGGTGACTAAAACCATGAATTATGATCCGATGTTTGTATCGGGGGTAACGGTACCTGGCGTATTCCGTATTGCAGGACATGCTAATTTCCTTGATTTGAAGAGGAAGCACTTCAATGATCTTGAAATGATAGGATAACATAAAAGAAAGATGATATCATATTCAAAAATCCACATGCAAATTGAAGGAGACTTTTCTTGGAAACAACCCAACCTTTTTTGAATGAAAATAAAAGGACTACTTGATCACTACTACCTAACTAGGTACCTACTCTTTATTTCTTGGGTAAGCCTTAGATGATGATTCAATGTTATACAAATTATTCCTTGTTGAAAAATGTATCGTTTGTAAAGAACATCTATGAATTTAATTTTAGTTTGATCCAATTTCAATACATCATGGAATGGAATCTTCAGACAGTTCTTTGCAAATTATTCTTGTTTTGTTCAGATAAGTGTTGTAGATGTTATAACATATTATTCTGGTGGCCAACATGATTGTGTGCCCGGAAAGTGAATACCTAACTAATACATGTGCCATTATAAGAACATTTTTGTATCATTATTGAAGGAAAAAACTTCCTTGTTTTCAGGCATCATTCCTTTTAGACTTGTAGGATATCAGCCAGAAATATGGCCAAAAATGGTTGTAGTTCTATGCTTTGAAAATATCTTGGTGCCTTCTCTTCCACAACAAAAATGCATCTTCTCCTGAAGGTTACATAGCTTTTTGCATGTAATGGTGGAAGACAGGTTCTTGAAATGTTATTGACTACTCGGAAACAGTCCATGCTTTTCGAAATAAGTACAACCAGGCATGTGTATATAACTACAATAATCTACAATGAATAAATATTTGGCAATTGAGATCTCCCATTTATGGCTAAAATTTATAAATTTGGTGAATGCTCAATATATTTTTATACGCCAACTTTCTATATTTTGGTGAAGGCGCCTAATCGTATATTCTTAGAGGCTTGTGACCTGATTGCAAACATTTGGTAACTCACTGTATCTATTAATTTCAACTCGTCTCACTTAACCTATTCGGGTGACTTCTCGAGACAATCTGATTGGATATATAGAGAAGCAAGAGCTCATTTAAACCCGTTAATGGCCTATTCCATCAATTGCAAGTCACATTATCTAGTTCTAGGAAACTGAATACGACGCCAAAATGTATATGGATTATGGGGACCATCAAATTAGTATGACCGTTATTGCGGTAATATTAATCATTTGAGTGTACACGATTGCTTCGATTATGATTTCAATTTCCTTCAAGTACTTACTGCCCTTTTCAGTATTTACGTATGCGCATCAATTATTGTTGGGGGGGGGGGGAGTTATAGGAGTAGGTACCCTCCTCCCTAAGAATAATAACTTGTTATTATTGTAACATTTATAGCTGTTCGATATGTGATTAATTTTTCCTTAGTTCAGTTTTATTTCTAATTCTAATATACAAGGTGATTAAAAATTCGTTATCAAAATCTCAGACTTACTTTTCAGGGCAAAATGAAAGTTTCCTCCTGTGTCATGGTTTGTTAGGTTTTTATTCGTTACGTATTATTTAAAAACTCGTTATTGAGATCACAAACTAAATATATAGCGTTTCTTGTTTTCATCTTGATGATAGGTTCCTCTCATTCGTTAAAAATTTCAATTAAATTTAGCAAAGTATATAAATTATGGTTTTCTCGATAACTGTCGCATCGATAACGGTCGCAGAAGCGTGAAAATCCTAGAAAACAAGAAAGTGCAAAAACAAAACAAAGAACTCTTTCCGTATTTCAAAATCTACCAGTGGCGTACCACAAGAAAGTGTATGGAGCGAAAAGGATCAGAACCCTAAAAATATATATTATTTCCTATATCAATCACTCGGCGTACTATTGATGAGGACCGTAAAAGGTTACCTATAATCCATATATGAATCTCGGAATCTGAAAGAGCTATGAAGAAAAGAAGGTAAAACCTTGAAATTTCAACGCTCTGTAGATCGGTTAAGAAGCGTTTGTTGACACATAGTTATTGAAAAAGATTTATTTTGATCTGAAAAATAAGCCTCTCAAATCTTGATACTGAATTTTGGAACATCCTGTATACTATTTTTGGCTCTCTATACCATTTTTTCCTTTACCTAAATCAAAAACCATTTTCCTTCCCGATAAAAAATTTATGGACGCCCCTGGTCAATGTCTATGTAGGTCGATAATTGCAGATAAAGTAGAGTATTCTATTTGCTAATGATAGCTATTTTTCTTTGAAAATCAACAATATAGGTACTTGTTATCCTTTATGTGATTTACATAATTCTTCACACTCTGGTTTACACAATGACATTTACAAGCTATTTTCAAATGAACCGTGAATTATTTATGAAAATACCCAGTCTTTTATTCATTTCTTTCCTATACCTATACATATACATACATATATAATGGGTGTAGTTTATTGATGGCTGACAATGAATGATATGGTTCCTAAACCTCTTAACTTCTGACCTATACGGTGTTAAAATTTTAAGAAAAAAATCGTTTTCTCATTATCACTTCAATACCGTTCTAGATCTTTTCATTCAATTTGACATGCACCTACTAACCGCCAATAGGCATTTTTCGATGCAGAAGATTTTTCAATATCTCTACCAGTGGCGTACGTGAGGGAGGTATCCTCGAGATTTTTTGAATAAAATATTGTACGCCCTTGATTCTTCCGAGAATGAAAATAATTTTTGGAATCCTCATTTTCTTGCAACATTTCGATCTCCTGAATTCTTTCCGTCCGACAAACCGTTTTCGCGAAAAAATATGAAAACAATTTTCATGAATTTGTGGCATAACAAAATTATTTTGAACTAGAAGGCTACTATTTTGTATTTAAAATAATGATACTGAGAAGTATCCATAAACGTGACAGCTTTTTACATTGTGAAAGTTTCTTCAATCAATAGAGAGTATATAAAATATGAACACCCTATTGTTCGAAAGTTAAGAGGTCAAGGGAATATGTTCATTTAAACTCTTCTTCTTGAAATAAACTAAGAAACCAATGAAACCATATCCTATATCTTCAGCCATCAATTAAATTACACCCTGTATGTATGAGAAAAATTCAATACCTGAATAATTTGAATGAAGTTCCCGCGACAAAATAATTTCACGAGAATGTTTCCACGTTTGTTCGTTTGATGTTCACTGTCTAGACGTCGTAATTCATTGAAGTCTACACCTTTTCCAGATGAATTTCAGAAAGCGTCAATTGTAAATCAGATTTCTCAAATGGA